TTGTTACTACTAGTAAGGCACTTGTTACTACTAGTAAGGCACTTGTTCCTAATAGCTTCTTGTTACTACTAGTAAGGCACTTGTTACTACTAGTAAGGCACTTGTTACTAATAGCTTCTTGTTACTGTGCCACCGTTTGAGCACAATGATAAACCCATCCATCACCATCCATCACGATCGTGAGCATCCAAAGCACCGAGTAAGGTACCAACTAGGACAGCATTGCAGTGAGAAGAAACCGGTCGCAAGCTGAAGTAAGCTCCGAAGATGAAGTAGATGATATGCAGACAAAGCTGAGGCAACATGCTTTAGTAGCTAGAAGCTACTAGGTTGGAGGCCATCGCTATTAGGTTGGAGGCCACTACTACCAGTAGCTAGAAGCTAGTACTAAAGGCATCGCTACTATTGAGCAAGGCAGTGGTGGAGCTTTGTATGCACGAAGCCAAACAAGCTCCACACACATTGAAATGGGGTTGCAAACAGGCGGCCAATCCTAAATCGAGTGGAACTGCAGTTCTCCCATTTTCCTTTTCCCGTCCGTTTGCAATTGTACATTACAATTGCCCAGCTGCACTCCATCACCAGTGTTTTGGGCACGTGATGCCACAACGGACTGACGTGTTCTCGTGTTGACATTCAGCAGGCAACCGAGCACAATGGCGGCTTAGAGCACAATCTTGACGGGACACCTTCATTGCAAACTCTTGATTATCCAGACCGGCGTGGTGCACTTTCCTTAATGGACCTCTTTTTTCATTTCCTTTCAATTCTGTTCGTTTTCAGGCCTGGCCCTTCCCGTTGTTACATTGCTGGATACTTTCAGCTTACTTGAAAAGGAATCTTGCCTACAGATCTTTATATTGAAGTGCCATCCGTAAATTTCTGACGATTTCTGTTTCTTGAGATCTTGTTCCATGCCCAGCTTCTAGTGGCCTCAAAACTGCACATGCTTTCTGCAGGTTGCAGTTGGTTGACTGCAGATGCTCTTCCAGGACCAGTATGCTCAACAACAGCAACAGTGACATCACGCAAACGACGCAGTAAGAGTCGCCTCAAGTACTTCTTGTTTTCTTTTGTGGAGGCGGAAACGTTCCACTCAGGCCACTCAGGAAAATCTATGAACGCTTGCTTCTCAGTTGTGGCCTTCCTGGTTCTAAATAGTTCGCCCTCAACATGCGGCTGCTGGTGCATTCGTGGCTTTCAATGGTGGTGATGGCGCTAGCGCAGGAGCAGCTAAGTTCCGTCTCAGAGGCAAGAGGTTGGAGTGATGCATTGTTTCATCCTAATGCATTTTTTATGTATCACAAAAGTCTTTGTTTCTTTTTCTTTGCATCCGGAAGAACTGTCCTCCTTTGGAGGCTGAAAGTGCCAAACGGGCCTTGCAAAATGAATGTGATGATTGTGATGATGCTGCCCTGGAGCTCTTGCATCTCCGTGCTGGAAAAACTGCAACGGGTGGGGCAGACTCGACAGAGACAGAGACAGGCACTGCGGAATCGGCCGATGATTCACGATGGAAAATCTTTGGTATCAACATTTGCTTTGGCTGTGGGACATGCTGCAATTTGAATAACGACGCGCTTTGCTGCTCCGCTGACAGTCAATGTAGCTTTGTGAATGGTTCTGCAGCCTGTGAAGCCCCTGCTCTTGGACGAGACATCGATATCGGTGGCACATATGGCTCAATTACTACAGGAGATGTCACGATTGGAACACCCCACGGTAAACATGGCAAGTGTGGCGGCTGCCGAAATTGCTGCCGCAGTCATGTTCGCAAGGGAGGCCAGGATAGCTATCAAGAGGTATGCTGCCCTTCAGATACCACGTGCCAGTATGAGGGAAATAAGGTGTCATGCGTTCACGGGAGTCGAGGAGGCGGAGCAGGCGGTGGAGACATCCACATTGGCGGCCATTATGGGTCAGTTCACACGGGCAACCTGACGATTGGATGAAGCTGTGATACGACGACAAAGCGCGCAACGAAGATTCAAGGCTGAGCTGCCATTCGCTCGTGTTCTCCCAATATCTTTTTCGCGAAGTTCGTGGTCGATGCTTTGTTTCCTTGACCTCTTCTTCTTTTTGCTTTCGTGTGACTCTGCCTTGCTTTCGTTGTTTCCTGCGACCTGCGACACGTTCAAGCAGCTTCTGTAGCTTATGAACCTTGGCCCAAAATGCTGTGTGAATGTTGATATTCCATGGGAACATTTGCAGTTTTGCTGAAGGCTAGTCACAGTCCTGCCGCGCTGCCCCTTCAAGTACGCTCAGACTCTGAGAGTTTTGACATTTTGACTGTGGCATCTGCGGATGGCCACAGACGGATGGCCACTATAAGCCTCTATGCCAGTGACCTTGAACTTGAGAGGAACGTTAACAGATGTGCCAGAGGCGAGAAGCATTTCACCAAGTCACTATTCTGGTTAAAGAACTCAAGGGTTTGGTATGTTCAAGTTCCGATTGAGGTTCCAAATCCAGTGTTCCTGTTAGAGCTCGTCACATATGCCAAAGTGCATACGAGCAGTCGATGGTTCCATGCGAACAGTTTGAAGTAGTCCTTTTGCCAAGATAATGTTTTGTGGTGAAGGGCGGAAAAGAGGGCGAAGATAGCTGAATGGGGTTTCAAGAGCATCATTTGTTTGCATGTCAACATGGACAGCTTGTGGAGAGGTTTAAGTTTAGGCTAGACTGCTAGACTCAGCTCCCTGAGGAGTCTTGTGACCAATCAGAGGAGTTGACGATTGACCTTGGCTAATGATCGGAAGACCTCTTGGACGTGAGATTGAGCGGACGCAAAAGGTTCCCAGCCTGATATCTGATTGCAATTGACGTAAAGCCGGCTGTGCGGCACAGCCTGTGCCTGCCAATTTTATCCAAGATGATCTCAAAAGAACGGTAGCTTTAGGTTGGAGGCCATCACTTCTAGGTTGACCCTGAAACTCTGGAGGGGTTACAGTTTGGTTTCCCACGCGAGTTGAGATTTTCCAGTTCGATTTTAGCGCTTTTGCTCCAAGGTGGATGTGTCAAGATGAAGAATAATTCTTTTTTTCCAAGATGCGTGCAGCTTGCTGTCCATTGTCTGCCAAAATTCGGATGCACAGAGAGAGAGAGAGATAGAGAGATAGATAGAGACAGGTTAGATGTCCGGATGGTGTTTGCTAAAATTCAACTTATTTCATTGTGTCGTTTGGCCCACAGCGTTTTCAGACTTGAAAGGGGGGCAATGGGAGACTGGGCGCTATGCCACCCGGCACACGTGTCGCTCTCACATTGTGCCTGTGAAAGTCAACACATTTGTTCTCGTTGATGCTTTAATATGTCAATCATTGTGACAAGGCTATGATGTGTATGGAACTTAAGAATCTTTGAACTGTTTTTCATTGGCTTTGTTTTGGTCGATTTGCTTGTGCCATTTTCTTAGGCTGGACTTGAGGCATGGCGCTTTTGTCGTTTCTTGCTCCACGCATTGCTTAACGTTTCTTGACTCGTTCCCTTTCCGTTCTTCCACGTCCTTCGTTTTCGAAGGTATGCGGATGGAAAGCCTGCCATCCTTCGTCATACAGATGGCAGTGGCTTTGCCTACTATCCCTCGGGCCGGAAGGTGCGTGCCTCCAAGATTCGGCGATGGCCTCCAACCTAACAAAATTGGCCTAGGAGCCCCTAGTACTTGCTCCTAGTAGCGATGCCAGGAGCCCCTAGTAGCGTCCTTGCTCCTAACAGAATTGGCCTCCAACCTACTATTTTTCTTTCTAAACAACGTGAAAGGTTGCAAGAGATGGCCAAGAGGTAAGGCCTTTCGGACCCTAGAATTGAATCTGATGAGGCTGTGTGCATTTCAGCCTGTGGTTTCGGCCTCAGCGCTTCGCAGTAAACACACTTCAGCACTTTCGTCCGTTGCAGGCTTTGACGGAGCCGGCCGTGCCCGTCGCTTCAGCGCCATCGTTCACAATGACAATGCTAGGAGAACTTTTGAAATGACCTACGCGATGGCCTCCCACGGCGAGCGGGTACAGTGTTCGGAGCTGTTGACATTTCGACAGGAATCAGGTGGTTTCTGTCTTCGATGAGTGGGGTCTCGGCTACGCAGATGGGATGCCAAGTCCAAGCCCAAGTCCAAGCCGAGATCGGATGCTTCGGAATGAGAGGTCCGATAGCATTCTTGGATAACAAGAAGCTACTAGGAACAAGTGCATCGCTTCTAGTAACAAGTGCCTTACTAGTAGTAACAAGGATGCTACTAGGGGCTCCTGGCATCGCTACTAGGAGCATCCCTAGCGAAGAAACTACGGACTCAGAAGGGCGAAGAGTTGAAGAGTAGCGTCCTTGCTCCTAGTAGCGATGCCCTTTGCACCTAGTAGCATTCTATATATCTATAAACCTTTCTTCCTTCTCTTGTTTCTAATAGCAATGGCCTCCAACCTAATAGCTACTAGCAGCTACTAGTTCTCCTCAATCTACAGATCCTTACTGGCCGCAAAAGGATGTGTCTTTCTCGACCAAAAGCATCCGAAAGCGCTGCGTCACATTGAGGCGCTGGATCTCAGCCGAAGCTTTTGATCTCCGAGAAGGCGATCACGGTGGTGGACGGCGGAAAGGCGTGAAGGGATCTTCCGACACCGTGATTTTGCGAAGAAGCGAAGACACTACTAGGAACAAGAAGCTACTAGGGGCTCCTGACATCGCTACTGGGAGCAAGGACGCTACTAGGAACTTGTACTTTTTGTGTTTCTTTATGTTTCCAACATATTTGTCCGAGTGGGCTTTCTGTATGTTTTTGCAAATCTTCGGAATGATGACAGGCCACGGAAGTGCCCAGGAGTTCGCAGAATGCTGACAGTACGGATTTGGTGCTGCGGGTGCTCCGAAGTTTTGTTTTATTCTCCCAAGGAAGCTTTCAACGCATGTGTGAAACACGTTCTTTTCCGCACATCGCAGATCAACCAGTTCCTGACCCTGCGCCATAGAGGTCGAGCCTTGGTACAATTACCAGTTCTTTGGTATGCAACTCCATAGTCCTAGTAGTAGGTTGGAGGCCATCGCTGTTAGCTTGGAGGCCATGGCTACTAGGACGGAGGCCATCGCTATTAGTTAAGTTTCCCTAAAAATCTAGAAACCAAATGAATAGTGCGAGCGCTTCCTTGAAGAAGCGTGAGCTGTCCTGCGTCCATGCTAGTAGTTTGAGTAAGGTACTAGCTACCTAGCTTCTACTGGCCACCTCTACCTACTACTTTTCTACCAGCCTACCCCCTGGGCTAAAACAACAAAAAAAACTCGTAAACTCAGGAACTATGCTGGACTTCCGGTGTGAAGGTGTGTGCTGAGTTTTTGACGGCTTGTGTTGCCAGTGAGCTTGATTTGCTGTGCCAACATGGTGGTCAACAAAGAGGTTCCAGATGATCTCCAAACTCTTGCTGTCAAAAATACTCTTGATTTGGCCTTCTCAAATGCCTTGACCGCTGGTGAAGTTTGTTTGTTTTTGTTAGTTTTACTTATATTTTTGCCGCTTGAGGTGTGAGCCACACCTTTACCATTGGAGAGACACATGGAGAAGAGGCTCGAATTGACACAGTGTCGAGCCGCCGGAAGTCATTCGATGTCAGGTGAGTGGCATGTCCCTCGCTTCCGAGAAGACCCTGAATGCGCAGCGCCTCCGAAGCGATTCTTCCGATTCTTGCAAAAGGTCTCCTTTCAGGACAACCTGGGACAAAACAAAGGTCCAAGTAACATCGCTTGTTGCCTGTTCTGAGGTCTGCTCAGCTTCTTCAGGAAGCAACTCAAAAGTTAGAGAAGGTGCTCTTGAGCATTGTGAAGGGGACGCTCCGTTCGGGGCTTCTGGCCTTACTAGGAGCGATCGGACGCTACTAGGGCTCTTGAGAGGGAACCGACCGGGTCTTGTTTGATCCGTTGAGGTGAAATGCATTCTTAGCGTCCAATATGCCCTTTGCTCCTAGTAGTAAGGCCAGGAGCCCCTAGTAGCGTTTTTGCTCCTAGGCAAAAGTGGTACATGCGAAGCTTGAACTTGAGAATCTTGAGGTGTGTGGTTTGGAGAAAACATTGAAGGCAGGACTTGAAACGAAGCCGAAACCATTCCAGTCAATCATTTGAAGCCGAAAGCATTTGAGGTGAATCCATCCCAAAGGGATTTGAGAGACACCGAAAGGAAGGCAAGCTCTGGAGGGATTTGTCGCAGCCCGGAGCTTTTGCCAACCTACTAGGCCTCCATCCTACTGGCCTCCAAGCTAGTAGCGATGGCCTCCAACCTACTGGCGATGGCCTCCAAGCTAGTAGCGATATGGCCTCCAAGCTAGTAGCGATGGCCTCCAACCCAATAGCAATGGCCTCCAAGCTAGTAGCGATGGCCTCCAACCCAACAGCGATGTCCTGTGGACATTTGGCAGGATCTGGATTTGCCGACCTTGAAACCCAACGCAAGTGGTACAGGTGTTTTGCTTAGCTTCTGTCAGCTCTTCTTCCTGCTCAGCGTCGGCTTAGACCGGTGCCGTTTCGTCAGCTCTGAGGCCTTGCCCACCCGCTGGACCTGGACCTCGAGTGGGACACGGAGTTCAGGTCTGGGGAAGCTTCGAGAGTAGCTTGGTTCGGGGGGAACAAAGTCCAAGGTTTGCGAGGAAAGCGGAAGAAAGAGAACGTGAACAGATTGAAAAGCATTCAAAAGGGAGCTTCATAGGCATTTCATGTCATGTCGACTTTCTAGCAAAGTAAAGGGTATATAGTTAGAGTTGAGACCAAGAGAGCTTAGCAAGACCTAGCATGCTCTAAAGAGGTGTTTTGATCGGTTGGTCTTGTTTTGTTCAGGTTGAAGAAGCTTTTGGCAAAGGCTCATCCGCAATGTCCTGGTCTTCGCGTGAACATCTCAGCTGACCTCATCTCAGCATCTCCCAGCCTCAGCACGCTCTCGTGGAGCTTCGGGCTTCAGGCGGGTGGCCAAGCAAGCTGGAAGATCTCCCGCTTCAGTGGAAAATGTACAGAGGAGATCGAAGGGCCGAGAAGGGCCGAGAAGGGGAGACGCTAAACTGAAATGACAAAGACATGAAGAGCAAGGTAAAGCTCCCAGTTCGAGTGATGAAGAGTGAATTGTTGTCGAGTTTGCAGCAGGTTACCTGTACAGATCACCACACACATCACAGCCTTTGAAACTCAAGTGAAAAGAGAGGTCCGTCTCTGGCACGCCACTCCGCTGCATGGTCGATATGGTCGCGGAGCGCTGGCCAAATTCCCGGGCAGACAGGGTGAGGTAAGTCCGCTGATTCGGGCAGGCAGAGACCCCTGCGCCTTTCAAGGGTAATGGGATGCCGCGATGCCCAACACAGGAACCACAGGAGGAGGCCTCATCGACCCATGGAAGACTGATGACTTGAGTGGAAAGGAGGAAGGTTCACCTTGAATCGTGCTATCTGCCTGTCAGGCTTCTTGCAGAGCATGCTTTCTTGAGCCTTGGACGGCAGGCGTTAGCACGACAGCAAGATAAGAGGCTGTAAGTTTTGTAATTCTTGCTAAAGTCACACAAGTTAGCCACCACTTTCCTAACGCGAAAACCAAGCAAGACTTTCTTGGCAACCGGTGATCTATTGCCTAACTGGTAGTTTACCCTTTGATTTTTTTGAACTGAGGTCTCATGTCTTTGGTAAGCAAACTTGTAGGTTTCCGTATGAACGTGCAAACAGCATTCCTGTGGTGGATTGGGCTGTTGCAAGCAGACAAATTCAGGTATCGAAATGAGCATGTGCGGGCTGCCCAAGTTCAAGTGCATGATTGCTGGGCTGTTGTGTACAACTG